AATAAAACTGCCACACAAAGGCGGGGGGTCAAAAATTTCAAAACACCCTTCAAGAGCTTCGAAAGTTCTTCATGTTTTGCTTGAAGAGTTTTTCGATTGGATGCCAAATGACAATGTTACAAGGAAAATAACAGTGCCGCCCTTTCAAACCGAACAAGGCCCCAAACGTAGAAAAACTCACCGAACTGTCCAGACCCAACGTGAGCAGCATCATGAAGAAGATGAGCGCCCAGAAAATGCTGCCGGGCATGGTGGCGATGGCGGCCGGATACACGATGAAAACCAGGCCAGGACCTTCGGTCGCCACCTCTGTAATGGAGCGGCCAGTGGCGTGCGCCATGTACCCGAGCACCGAAAAAATCACAAACCCCGACACGAAACTGGTCGCCGAGTTGATGACGCTGGTCAAAAGGGCGTCCCTGTTAAAACAGCCCTGATCAGCCGCTTCTGAGCCGACGAATCGACCGGCTCACTTACTTGTAGACGTTGTTGTGGTACTCGTTGTAGGAGGCGTAGGCCAGCAGCACCCCAAAGCCGGGACCCAGCGAGAAAAACACCTGAGTGGCGGCATCCACCCAGACCTCCGCCGACGAAATCACACTGAAGTTCGGCTTCAGATAGTAGCGGATGCCCTCAGCTGAGCCGGGCAGCGTGATGCCGCGCACGAACAGGATCAGAAGCACCGCATAGGGGAAAAGGGCGGTGAACCAGACGACCTTCCCAGAGGTCGAGATCCCCTTCCACAGCGAAAAGTAGCAGATGACGTAGACGGCGAGCAGACAGAGCGCGGTGTCCCATTTGATGGCGCCGAGATCGTGCAGGCCCTCGCTCTTGTGCAGCTCCAAAATAGCGCGACTTTTGTGACTTTTTAACGCCGCCGCCCTTCACTGGGGCCTCACGCCCCAACTACTTACTTGAAATACTCGGAGGCGGCGGACGCCAATGGGGCGGTCGCGTTCTGCAACACAGTGGCGTTTCCGGCTTCAAAGTCGAACTGAAAATCAACTAGTTAACACTGATTGGGTTGCGTGGTGGGGGGGGCGGCCAATACCGGGCGGCATTGCGGCGTGTTCCATTCGTTGTCGCACGTTGTCCATGGCAACAGGCTGGTGAACGAGGCGAAAAAAAAGCGCAGCGCCCATGCAATGATGACGTTGTAGTAAAAATCCACGTAGAAAGCGATCAGAACGACCGCGTATCCGATGCCTGAAAATCGCATTTATTTAATAGCGG